AAACCAATATAAACACAGCATTGAACACTACCTTAATTTGTTATCCTTATTGTTGTTGGATATATGTATTTTGGAGGGAATATTAAAAATACATGAAATTTGAACTCTCTCTTTTATGTTAAAGTTTTATCTTTATTGCTTTATCTTTACTATATTTTGTTTTCATTTCTTATTCTAACCTCTTAAAGATTGTGAAAACACCTTATCCTACATTGCTTGGAAAAAATATGTAGAGTTCAGCTTATAAGTTAACTTATCCCTATGGGTGCTACCCATATGAGGAAAATCCACAATACATTTTACTCACATGCTTGTAGGCAGTTGGTGTGCTTTTCACACATGTGCATGCATCAAGCCGAGTTGAGACATAGGTGTGGGTGTGTATGCACACACCATATCCTTTTTAAGTGATTATGTTTTAACCATTTCTATAAAATCTGATTAACCATTTTTTGTTCTATTTAAATGTCTTTTGGTCTATACATTATGTCAGCTTCTTCTTTGTGTCTCTTCAAGCGGGTTGCTAACGTGCACACTGTTTAAGAGAGACATATCTCATTATAAGGACACTTTTGTGTTTTTTCAGGTGGTTGAAAATTCTCTATAAATAGAGTGTTGGTCAACCTAATGGCATAAACTATATAATAGTATTTAATTATCAATTCATAAAGAATGAGCTTCTCACATTAGTGATTTAAAGAGGACTGATAACCAAGTGCACATCATCTATCAAAAACTTGTGGGTTGTTTCATCTTAGAAACTGATTTGTAAAATCCAAGTTGCACCATAAGAGACAAATGTTGTTTTAAGAAAAGTTACCAAGTGGCATGACTAAGCCCATTCCATATTCTATGCAAAGTTCAGCTTGTTGTTTTTGCAGTTCACAATAAACTTTAAAAATGACTTCACACCACTATCATGTTTGCAACAATTATTCATAAAGTAAATTTCCTCCATTATTGGTTATGCACAATCCACTACAATGTAGATGCAAATCTGACGTGGCCCATGGATGGATTGGCAAAAGATTCCTTTACATAACAGAAAAAATGTGGGTCATCTAATGAGCTTCTCCAGTTTACCTCCCTAGTGGATTTTTCTTATTATAAACTAGAGAATGACCCCATACTTAGTACGAGGAAGTTATTTTTTGTGTGTATATATATCTATATATATACATTTTCTGAAAGTATAAAAATGTCTCAACGAATAAAGAAAAATGGCAAGGACGACGTCTATAGAGATTGAGAATTACAGAAAACAAAAACAAAGAAAAAGTGGAAGATAGAAGAAAAAGACAGACACTAAAAAAGACTCTTATTTATAAATACCTCCTCCATGAGACCGCCCAAAGGGATCCATGACACAGAAATAGTCATCGGAACGCAATGGCATAACATGTCAATGAGAGGAGAACCTTTCGTCTCCTCCAAAAGCTTCATCGATGCTGAGGTGTTGCAAACCCAAATCTCTATCCTTCAACGGTTTGTTTTTTGAGTTCAAACTTCAAATCTAACTGAATTAATGAACTCAAGTAATAATTAACAACAAAAATCGAAAAACAAAGGAAAGCCTAGATAACCCATCGTCATCACCATAAAAACCTAAACTTTTTAAAAACCACAAGCGAGCAACATTGTTGATTCTCGTCTCACTTTCTCGACCTTCTTGAAATGGACCCTCGAACTACATTCCTCCTCCCAACCTCACTTTTTTTTATCTTTCTTCTTTTTTTCCCTCCCCCTACAGAGTTGTGGAATAAATATGAAAATTCACTGATTTATGGAGGAAATGGGGAAATAAATGAGGGAAACCCGGGTCTCACTGCCGCAGTACCTCATTTTCTTTGTCTTTTTGCCAACCTCTATATTACATAAATTTGTAGTAGTGCACCACACGGTTCTTCCACCTTTCCCGAACTATTAATTTGATCTAATCCGGACATTGGTAAGGGTAGATAGAAGGGGCCCAGCTAAGGATCTCTCTCTCTATGGGGTCCCATCTCTTGGCTATGTTTTGTAGCTATGTTCTATAACTTTATTAATTGCATATGTTCTTCCTAACGTAGATGGAATGTTTTGAATCGGATTGCTAAACAATGCAGGTCGAATTATCCATGAATTGACCCATGCATAACTTCTTCCTAACCCAGACATGTGGCCACAAAATTTGTATTCTCAATCAATGTGACTCTGAATAGTCGTATTCTCAGTTGAGTCATTTCTGAGAAGACAATGTTTCGCTCTAAACTAAATCAATGGCAGCCTATACATAGTTCATAGGGAGAATGATGGTTCAGCCCAGGGTCAGAATTTATAGGCTCAAAGTACATTTGGGGTAGGTACCAGTTCGGAATTGATGCTAATTCACGGGCGTGTATGGATGCATAGAATGTGGGTTTTTGACCTTTTGAATGTTTATAGATCTTAATATGGAAATCAGAAATCTGCATGAGCCTATCCATACTTTTCCATAGTTCATATAACCATCCTGACTACCGGCAGCCACCCATAAGTGATCGCCAATGGTCGGAGATCTCATCTAACATTAAATGCCAAAGAGCAGTCACCTGTAGCAAATAGTAAGATGACCGTTTTCTTCTTAGGCGAACCTGTCTTCTCAATCATCATTTTGTAATAACAGTAAACAAGGCTGGCCTATTCTACCTTTATATGACCCTCCCGGCTACCGAAGACCTCCCATAAGTGATCGCCAATGAACAGTCATTAATAAAGATTCGATCGTCGGCGAATGGAAAGACTGTAAAACAGAGCATGTTTTTACACTAATGGCCGGCTACCAATAGTTGTTTAGCGAGTTCGCCTATTTTAATGAATCATCCCAACCACCAACAACCATCCAAAACCAAAAGTAATCGTCGGTGGCCGGTTGTCATTTACATTAAAGACTAAAAAACAGAGCATGTAAAGACTGCGAAAACAGGGTATGTATTAAGAACTGAGAAACTAACCGGATTGAGGTAGATAATCTACTAAAGCCGATTCCTAGTTTTGTTCTAGAAAGTCAATGAAGTTTGATACACTCTTGTTTCTCAGATGCAAAATTGTTAAGTTGAAAGTTTCTGCAAATTGAGTAAATTTCGAAGGTTACAAAATTGTTAAATTGAAAGTTTCTGCAAAATGAGTAAATTATTGAGACTTTGAGTTTCTCGATAATATTAGTCATCAGTTGCTCGAACAAACTTTTTTTAAATTCTAATGGTATGGGGTTTTAATTTGCAGAAATTTAGGTACATGCCCTACCTAACTCGACCACTTGTAACAAAACGAGTTTGAGTGTTGGATGGCTCTACTACAAAAACTGGCGACTCGAGTTGATTCAGACATGTTTCTTCTTGACTCATTGAGTTTTAAAACAGGATTGAATGTCCCCCACTTGAAAAACTTATTCTAACACCATTTGTTAATTTCATGCTTGTGTTAATTACCCATGATCAGGGCGGAGCCAAGTATATTGGTGGGATCCAAGAACTTGAACTGAAATGTTAAGGATCACACTCTAGTAATCTAGTTCTCAAAATAAAATAAAATAAACTTTTTTTTCTTTAAAAAAAATCCATATTAGACCCAAACCTTCCCACCTCATTTCTCTTGAAACTCTACCTCTTCTATTCCTTATTTCATTTTCTTGTTTAACCTGGCCTCCCAAAAGAAAATTCTTCGCTCCGCCACCGCCCATAGTTGTTGGATTATAAGATCATTTCATTTCTATTAGATTTATAATAGATGAGATTGGCTAGTGAATTCAAGTACCATATCTCACTAGTCAGTTCAGCATTAGACCATTAGGAATTAGGCTATGTTTTTATTTTGATACTAAAATAAGAGAAAAACAGAAAGGAAACATTCTCTCAACTTTCTGTACGTAACACAAAGTCCACACATCACACACTTCAAGACTCTCCAATTAAAACAACAGAAAAAAAAAAAATCAAACGCATCTATCCATCCTTTCCATTCCCCACATAAAATATTTTCCCCATTGTATCAGCACATGATCACCTTCTATATTTTAATCCTTTCCCTATATGAGAAAAAGAAGCCAGTAAGCCTACAGTTTTGAATCTCTTTTGAAAACCTAAATTCCACCCACAAAGTGGTACACATTGAAATCATTCATTCTATAAAATCTAGAAATCATGTTGAAGCCTCTTCATTTTATTAATGGCATTCAAAGATATAGATAAAAATAGTAAAAAATAATTTAAGCGCCAATAATTTAAAAATAGATATAACTCGTACCAAACTGAATGAAATGACGAAACAGGATCGATTCATGCAGTAGACTCCATGTTACTGGGATAAGGGTTGGATGATGAAGATTAAAAGTAAAATTAATTAATTTACACTTATTTGTCATAAATAAGAAGAAGACTTCGTTAAATTGATGCCCCTCAATTTGCATACCCGTACTCAGTAAATCAAGAATTCTGGTTGGCTGGTACACAACTGTAGTCCAGCTCACAAGTTAGAAGCAATTTAGGTCTTTGTTTGGACCTGAAAGTCAAAAAGTTGTAGACTGGATAAGCTCATAAGCGTCCAAATTGGGCCAAACCCAAAAATAATGCCTAACCTCACTTGAGACTACCGTTCCCCTATATTTTGCCATCTTCGTCAAACTGTTCTTACTTTTGAGTCTGCAGGTATTAAAGTCCTTGTTTGGCCCCCCCGTAGGTCAAAAAGATGTGATGGAATGAGTTAGTTAAAGATGCATTCAGATTTTATATGGTAACTAATTTCATGTCACAAACGATGGGACATCCGGATTCTTCGTAGGAAACCCTGCCAAACAGTCCCTACAAATACTGGGTGTTTGCACGGGCTTTCTCGCAACACAGTCGCACTACATTCGTAAATGAACTAATATTGATTCATTGGTTTGTTGGGCGCTAGACTGCTTGAGTGAATATGGTGAACTCAAGATTGGGTGTTGTTGTATTCTTGGTATTGCTTAGTGTTGGGCTTTCCTCTGCTGCCAGGTTTCTGGCCTCCGGGAATGGAGAAGGAGGAGGTGGAGGTGGTGGCTCTGGATATGGTTCGGGATATGGTTCTGGAAGTGGCGTTGGGTATGGTGGAGCACTAGGAAGAGGATATGGAAGTGGTGGGGGTGGGGGTGGGGGTGGAGGTGGAGGTGGAGGTGGTGGAG